CCATATACTCTGTACAGAAAATATAAAGATTTGAATTTTTCTATTAAATTATTATAAAATATTTACTGTGCATATAAAATACCTATTATACAACACAAATATACAAAAATTATAAGTTTTACATAATTGCTTACTTAAATTAAAATATTGACAAATGTTTCTTGTTATTATTTGCATGAAGAAGCCTTTTTCTCTATCATTTTTCTTCTGTACAAAATGTATGTTACATTTTACTATTATCGTATTATCATGTAGCATATAATTTACAATATAGAGAACATATTGAAATTGATAACTGAATATTTATATTTTAATGTTACTCTTCAAAATGTATAATATGAATTGGTTTTTAAACAAAGATGCTTATAAACAGTCCAATTTAAATAGTAGATAAGATCTACTGTAAAAAATTTCAGTTTCTTCACAATAATATTTCAAAAAAATATTTGTAAGTTAACAAATCATAGAATTAAATTTGTCAGTTATAATATTGTGATAATAAAGACGTACTATCCTACTTTAAAAAATTATTTTAGAAGTAATTTTGAAATGCTGAAACATGTGGTCATGAATATAAATAAAAGTTAGCAAATGCAATTTTAATTAGTGTATTTGCATTACAGAATTAAGTTGTTTATTACTAAGAACAATAGAACTATTTACAATTTTAATTTAAAATGACTCACCCCATATACTTCAAGTTGAATAAAGCAGTATACCATAGTAATTTTAAATAAGTATATATACAATTATAAATGTTTCTATATCAAATAATAATATAAAAATAGTAATGATGTCAAATAGTAATAACTAAACAATTACGCAAATATATAATTTTATTGAATTAGATTCGGCAATATTCAATTAAAATGGATCATTATTATAAGATTAAAGTTGCTAATTAACATCAGGAATGAAATAAACTAATCTATCCCCTGCTTTCATTAAATAAAATGATGCCTTGTAAAAAAAAACATATTGTATTTGACAAAGGTATTTTCAGTATAGATAGTTCATTTTCAAAACATATTTGAATATTAACACAACACTTAAACTAAATATACTGTAAAATTCTGTTTTATATATTGTTGACTCTCCTTTCATAAGGAGTCTTTTTTTTTTTAATTTATATGTACGATTTCATCAAATTAATTGCTTTTTTAATTGCATAAATTCTATAGTGGCTTCAGTACTAATAGAAGAATGCAGTAAGCAATATTTTAAGAAGTGATTAAAATACTTCTATTTTGTTATAACACTACAAGTTATGATATTTCACAGCAATAAAAGCTTTTTTATTTATTTATTTATGTTTTATTCTAAAAAAGCTAGAAATATATGTGTATAAGTATGATAGTGGACTGTATTATTGATATAGATTAAGTTAGCAATCTCATTATTAAAGAAATAATATCATGACCAATATTCATTAAGACACTTGCATATTTAATGTACAATATATTTTTAATTGATTTACTGTTTCATTTATATTTTTATAAAATTATAGTACTTTCTATTTAATATTATGCTCCTAATAATTAATAGTATTTGTATAATTCTAATTGCTAGATGTTTGTAAAAATAAGCAAAATACATAGTACATATTGTACTTGAATATTAAAAAGAAATATAATACTATAATTATAATAATTTTTATACACTCAAATCAAATAACATAAGATATA